AATAACTTTAATATGGTACAAACATAGTCAGCAGTCAGCTCCCCATGCATCCACAAATACTAAATGTAAGACACTTGAGATAGGATTTATAGCCACTGGCTACACAACCCTGCCTCCCTACAGATTATGTCTACAACTTGTGGTTTTGCCAATAAAGTTTTGAGAGGAAATTTTCTTCATGGACTTTGACACCAGGCACCCGAATTGGCATACCAAATCCCATGTGTGGTTAATTTTAGGTAACAGATGCACTATGGTGAAGGTGGGGGAAGGGAAAGTTTGTGGTTTTGGTTAGAGTAAATGTTAAAACGGTCTTTCACAACAAGTCACTGTTGGCTTTTTCAGTATCTAACCAAGACCACCATCTTTCTCAATCTTAACCAGGTGCTTTGAGTGTCTATGCACAATCATGAAAAAGTATAATGACTCAATAGTTGCTATTAGCAGATGTTGTATTGCAAGAGCAGGTATAGTAAGAAAATATGTCGTCAGTGAACATTTTCAACATTTTCTCACCTCCAGCTCGTCAACAAACACAGCATTTTGAAAAGGGCCCTACGCTTCTATGTACCCCTCCAGCATCAGTTTTGGATGCTCTGGGACAGCATGTCAATTTCCGCTCATTCCATGGATGATGTCTTTTCAAGATAAACTTCCATGTTCTCAGGAAATGCAGGTTTTGTCACCAAAAGTACTTTGGGTTTAGGCAACAAAACTACTTGGTTAGATTCAGATAAAAGGTCAGGGTTTGGGTTATGATAAGTAGGTTTGTTGCGTAACTTTATTGAGTAAGTAAGTTAACAGCTATGTCACATGAAGTATGTCAGGTGATATTAAAAAATGACTCAACCTTGTCTTTTGTTTTCACACGAGACACAAACAGTGCTCAATGACAGTTGGCTGACAGATGAGTTTTGGGGGTTTTTTTTGTTGTTGTTTTTTGTTTGTCCTCATTCTATTAATTAAAAAGTATTCCACATGTCCTAACATGTATTTGCTATTGAATATTGTAATGATATAAATGTAATTTTTTGGGCTGCAGGCTGAAACTATTTGGTATCACAATCAACATGAAACGTCAGTAACTCTGCATACACTGGGATGTCAGGGGTTGTTCCTGATAAGGGCAAAGGTCTCACATCTCCCGCATCACATGGTGCATATTCTTCACACACAATCTGTCACTATTTTCCCATAGCCCAGCACAGTTACCATGGTAGCAAACAGGAAGTGAGTACTGTCCATGGCACGATGTTAGTCAAGACAGTCACACTTGGGGAACTTCACAGCCAGATCTGGATAGCTATAGGCTTGTAATGTTTTGCAGGGTACTTTCTATACCGCTGTGTTTCTCCATATAGACACACAAAGACACACAAAGGGACAGCTTTCAGTTCACAATGTTTGGTGATTCTTCGAAACGCCTCAGTACTTAGAACCGTGTTTGGTCAAAAGAGGGAGAGCAGCATCAGTGAAGCGAAGCCAAAGGGCAGGTTGTAACAGAATAGCCTGGGGCATCAGATGGTGGGTAGGAGAGACTGGTAATGGGCTAAAAAAACAGATACATTGAGTCAGGCTTCTAATATCACAGAACTCGTGTGAGGTATTTTTAATTACCCTCTGAATCCTCTTTCTTTTCTTTTTCTCAGAAGCTGCTCCCCCTTTTCTCTAAGCTTATTTTACCTTGTATTGGCAGGGAAATTAAATGTAATTGAAGCCAAGGCTGGTAGCACTGGAAAACATTTACTCTTCTACTCTTAGTAGACCTGATTTAAATAGTGTTAAGATAAAATACTTTGTTCAGAATATATTTCAATGGAGATAAAATGAAATAGCTCTCTCAGATACTCAAAAATCCTCTTAACTTGACAAACCAAGATCATCTTGACTCTCTTGTGAGCACTGACCTAGAAACTGGCTTCAAGAGAATCACATGTTCACTGGACCTGAACACCTCAGACTGTAAATGTTCTGATCCTCTCATCAATCCCCTCGTCAGTCTAAAGCAGATTTTTTACTAACTGACATTCATTTGGGACAAATAAAGATACTGTGCTGTGTTGTGTGGCCAAGGATGAGCAGAATAATGTGTCTTAAGAAAAAAATGTGTAGAAACCCATCTGTCGAATGTGAAGTCAGAGGCAGATGGTGTGGCTCTGTCTTTTCACACTTCTCGCCAAAGCTTAGAGTGGAGCTAGGAGACATGGTTACATTTGCAGGAATTTGCAGTCTTTCCCTCTAAACTTACCATGGCAGCTTTAAACATGATTTTTACATCAAGTGACAGTATCTCTGTTGGTGTAGTATGTTGTGGTACTCCTGAATAGAAGGGGGGAAAGCTAACAGCACAGCTTTGGATTCTCAGGCTTCCAGTCAACTGGGCCAACAAAACTATCAAGATTTCTTGACAAAAACACTTACACTTTGCATCCAGGGCTAGCATTTCTAACATAACTGCTTTTGGATTCAAATGGCTTTGGTAGCAGTTGTATTACTACACTTGTTTGGATCTTCATTGTCAATATTATTCACCTACCCTAAAGCCTTAATGGTTTACTGTGCAGGACTTTTATAAAAAACAATGTATGAACTCATGTAAAAAACTTATGTTCTTATTTTGCAGTGTTCGAGACATTTCTGGGCACAGTGAGTTTGTGACTTTATAAAAAGGTAGCAGCTAGGTGTCAGACCATAGGCAGCACGCACCCAAGAGGAAGATACAAAATTTGTGGGCACAGTGACAATAAATGCAAATTTAGTGAAGCAAAACATCAAGCAGACTCTAGGGTTGGCTTTCACTTTCACTATCACTGGCAATAGTTTTGACAAAAAATAACTGACAGTTTTTGCATTGTATACCTTCAACCTTAATTCTCAACATTAATTGTGTTTTAGCATTTAAAGAGTCAGTAATCTGCAATCAAAGCCAGAATTGCGGTGCCTGCTAAGGACAATTTATCTGACTTTTTTGAACAGACAATTTGACATTCACACCAGCCCGTCCCATTCCCAGGTCGTCAAACCAACTAAAGCTTGGCAATTCATATCACAGCAATGCTACGTATGAAGAAATGGTTATGCATTGGTGGACCGTTTGCCGATGCTTTGACAAGCCCCTCGGCATGTGATACCATCACCGAAGGCACCCTTTGGCGTCTCTTTGAGAGGCATCGGCCTCTAATTCCAAGGTAAACCCATCCAAGGTAATATTAGAAGGTCAGAGCAACTGACATAGTATACAGAGTCAGAAAGTCTGTCTAGGGTAGGAGGGAGGAAGGGGAGGTGGATGGGTCAAACAATAACACACTTTCAGCCAGGACACAGCTGTTTGTGTCCAAACTGACCAAACAGAGAATCAATGAATGTTACTTGACTTATGAACATTTAAACCCAAACACAATGTTTTTTTCCAAATCTAACCAAGTATTTTCATTGCCTGAACCTACTTGCAACTATTTGACAGCTTTAACCACGTGTTACATTGACATTTGGGAGCTAGCTGTGCGTCACATACAGATGCAAAAAGGGTAGTCTCAAAAAGGTGCCTTTGACATTAGTATCAAGTGCAGCACTATAAATACCTTTTATGCGGGCTGTCAGAAAGCGTGTGCTGTTTTGAAAATGCAGATGATTATCACATCTTGCCGCTCTCCATTTTAGCAGTGTGAATGTGGCCATTTGGAACTGCTATATAGACGCAGCTGAATGACCCTTCATACAAACTATTTTGGTTCAACCATTCCCCTGTCTTTAAGATGGGCATTCATGACTGGATGACGAAGAATTTAATTTCCCACAGCTTGTTCTTAAGCTCCAATCATCGGCAGCAGCTTCTACTCCCAAAGCCAGACAAAATATGTCACAGGGCAGAATGGATTTTAAGGAAACATAAAATGTCATGGGTCAGTGCTACTAACGCTAATTTCAGCTAACGCTAGCCCCTCGCCAAGAAACTGTCCAGTTCACTTCAAGTTCTCACACCACAACTCGATTTCTGGCCGGTTATTTCTATTCACCCATGTCCGTTCCCAGTCCCTTGAACAAGTAACAGGCTCAGATGTTAAAGGCTGCGGCCTGTCAAATGTGTATGAGTCATTGTTGACATTAGCATTTGGGTTTGTGTTCATTATTGTAATAGTTGACCTTGTCGGCCATCTCTCTCTTATGTCACAATTTCACACAATTTCTTTAGTTAGTTTAGTTTTGTAAGGTGAAGCCTTACAAAAATTAAATGTCATTCTCTAACATATTATAACTCCATAGTGTTGTCCATCTAAAACATTTCTCTTATAGGATGTGAGGCTTGGCAATATGTCCTCCCTTTCAAGGGTTTTGCAAGCCTTCCTATTCTTGTGAGCATATTTATATCTTATATATCATAACAAAAAAAATATACACACAATATATAGGGATTTCAATCTACAGTTTGACCATGTAGAAAGGTTTCAACAGTAAAGTAAAATCTTTGTGACTGAAACAAAAGTGTGGTCATAATATGACGTTCTGACAATTGTTCTGACTTCCTGTTGCCTTGCAGACTCTCTCTGTTGCAATCTATTTGCCGTTTCCTCTTTCCCGCACATGGCTGTGGCCTCATGTTGCATGAATTTACACCACATTTTTGAATTTCCTTTTGTGCAATCAATAAATGTCAAAATTGTTGATTTCTGGAAAGGACACAAATCCCAAAAAGTCCTTTCACTTGTCTTCAGCAGGCTTCACTTTTCAGTCCTGTTTCAGAGGGCTTCCAAAACACACACACTGTGCGAAGGTCAGGATTTGCCTATCACAGTACACTGTTACTGTCATTTGCATCTGTGTTGGCAGACTAAAAATAATGTGAACACAGCATGCTTTCAGCCTGTCTGTTTGGCTCGTCCAGTCAGGAGGAGGGAAGGATCTGCAACAGCAGAAAGAAAGGAAGCAGAGAGACATAATAGGGAGTAAGGCATCAAGAGGAGGGGGAGGCATACATGCACAGTGTGAGTATGTGTTGTTTCTAACAGTGAGGTAGGAGGAGAGGAGGAACAGGAGAAGGAGGAGGAAGGGGTGCTTCCTCTTCAGTCTGGGGCTGAGCTGCTGATGTATCCCAGCAGCCCCGGTCCGTAGCAACAGGAAACCTTGGTATAAAAAGCCGCGTCGTAGGGGGAACCCTCCTAAGTGTTTCTCAGCCGCAGCATGACCAGGACCGAGAGCCTGAGAGTTTGGACCTAACAAGACAATGCCCAGCCTAATCATCGAACCACTAAACACGCAAAACTTCATCATGGACAGAGATGACAGGAAGAGAAACAAGAACATGTGAGTGAAACTTACTTACTAACTGCGGTGAGCCGGGCTTCCAGTAAATATGCTGACTTTGGGCTTCATGAAAAATAATTTATGTATCTATTTATTACTAACTGTATTTCCAAAGTGGTGTTTTGCTTTTTTGGCTCTCATGACAAACCTTTCAGACCCAAGAGGACACTCAGGAATATTATGGATGGTATCTCCTGAAAATAGCTTAAGTTAATAATGTCATCTAACTTTACTTCACCACATGCTCCCTTTTCTAATTACTAACATGCCCAACATGCTTTGACAGATTCACTGGACACTAATTTAACAGCAGTAAATCCAGTAGGGGTATATTCATGTATTTCTTATCTCTACACAGCGGAAAGAACTTTATGTGCCGACTCCAGTGCATGTTCTCACACTCGTCAAGCTCTGAGAGGTAAGGAGACTTATGGAGTGTTTTGCATACATTTCAGTTTTAAAATAGCCAGCCTGCTCCTATCATTTCCATCTATGGCATCATGAAAGGATTCAAATGAACTAGAGACACCATGTTTGCTTTGGCACAGCACACACGCACACCAACATATCCCATGGCCTGACATTTTTGTATGAATTTGATAAGCACATCTGCTATGCTTTCTTGATTAGACTGCCTCTGTATCCTCGCAGCTTTCACATCAGCTTTATTTTACCCAAATTTGATTGCAGTTGAGTAATCTAACTTGCATTCTCTCCCAGCAGGCTAAGTTTGGAAGATACCCAACAATGGTCACAGTCACTGGAAAGGCTTCTGGAGTCTAAATGTAGGTTGGTTTTCCTCTGAGGATGAGAATACTGTAAGAACAGTAAATAAAATTTGTGAGAGTTTTAAAGAGAATATTTGTTTTTAAAAGAAGCCGAAAGGAAGTGTTATCTTTGCTTCATGCTTGCTGTGTTTTCTGCGCCTCAGATGGACTGGCCACTTTTCGCAACTTTCTAAAATCCGAATACAGCGATGAGAATATTGAGTTCTGGCTCACCTGTGAGGACTACAAGAAGATCAAGTCTTCATTCAGAATGTCCTCAAGAGCCAAGAAGATTTATGAGCAGTTCATTAAAGCAGAATCTCCTAAAGAGGTAAATCCAACCTAGAAACTCTTAAATTCTTCTGTATCAGACAGTCAGTGCTCAGTTTGTGTCTTCAGTTTTCAGAGTACCAAATAGGAATTGTGGCTGCTCACATGTTGAGTCTAAAATCTCTCGCCCTTGGCTCAAATCCCCTCATTCCTATCTATCTGCCTCATTCCAGATCAACATCGACTATCACACCCGAGAGCAGATCAAAAGGAACGTCAAGACTCCCACCATGCACTGCTTTGACGACGCTCAGAAGATAGTTTACGGGCTGATGGAAAGAGACTCGTACCCGCGGTTCCTCCGCTCGGACATTTATAGAACTCTCCTGGAAAACCTCGCCGCCGACGCAACGAAGGGATGAAAGCACGGTCAGGAGGGGGTGGGGGGAGAGAGAGAACGGACATTAAACCCATAACTGGAATGTTAGAGCTCCTTCAGGAGGAAGGACCGAACACAAAGAAGGAAGGAGACTCAACACGGACACGTACGGAGGCCCCACGCCTCGGCGTCGTCACTAGATCCAGAAGCAAACTGTGCCTTAGTCCCACGTCATGGGAGGATCCCAAAACCGAGCACATCACACCTGAGGACTGTGTACCAAGAAGAATAAACAGCTTTCATGATTATGACCCTGTAGTGTGTGTTTGCACTTGGATAAGTCTGTGTATGCAGGCGCATTGAACACTTTCCACAGTGAATCAGTCAGCGAGGCGACTGAGGCCCGCTCTGGCTGTGGAGCTGCGTAAGCAAACCATGCAGTGGACCTCCTTTGGCCTTCTTTGCAGAGGTGTTTCCTGTGCAGAATAAGATAGAGGATGTAGGATGCAACGGTCACACTCGATCGGCTGTGTGTGGGTGGGTGTGTGTGTGTCTCAGAGAGAGAATGAGAGAGTGTGTTTAGTTGTAGCTTTAAACTGCCACTGACACGGAATAAGCTGTCGCAAAGAGAGTTGGCCAATTATCTAATGACAGCTCTAAGGAAGACAACAAATCTATAGCGAACAGACTCAGTAGTGATATGTCATCCTTAGTAAAGGGTTGCAGAAGGCCACTTAGCTCTGCAAGAGGTGTTCATGTACACTTTAAAAAGGAGATTTTTCTCCCTTTTTTTTTTTTTAGATTGGAGCGATATGGGGTTTTAAAAACTGATACTGCTATTTTTTTTTTTTTTTTAGATTTAAGCTGCCGATGGTTGATATTTTGTGCAAATATTTAATATAATTTTCAAGCTAAAAAACTAAGTAAAAATAGCTGGCATTTTTGTCGCAATAAAAACCCAGGTTAAATATATTTTATAGGATAAAAAAACATTATCCAGCACAGTTTTTTGTGTTGAATCTGAACCAAATTCTGCACTTCCAAGAAGTTCCCTTTTTTATGGCCAGTGGCATCTAATTTAATTCCTCAGCACACGACTACTGGCCGTGATCTTAAAATTCTTAAAGCACTGAAGTGTCAAGAGTTGTGATTTTTAATGTAATAAACTATTTGAGTGGAATTATTATAGAGATAGGATGTTTCACCTTGCATGATAGGCTGTTAAAACTCCTTGTATACCCTGAGAATATGCCTTATTATTGCTTTCAGAAGCATGTTGTTTAAATGTATTCATAGGGGTTAATAGTTAAGTTAACTTAAAAGTAAAACAATGGATTATTTATTGTTGTTTTGTCACCACTTGAGTACAACCTCGTTGCAGTGTTGGAGTGCTTGTTAAAATGTTAGTGATTTGAATGACATTAAATTATTTAAATTGCCTTCTTGGAACAGAGTGACATTTTTTAGTAGCACACACACACACTTGTCTCTAGTTTCTGTTCTCTCATTTTTCAAATTACAGCTTTTAGCGCTTTGTGCGCTGAAATTAAGTCTGGTGGTCTGTTTAAAGGAAGGCAGCAACCTACACACTTCCAGTGAAATAGATCTTAAAACATGGCATTATAAAATTAATGGGATGTTTGTGTAATGATTGTCTGTTATATGTTTAAAGCAATACTCCACCGCATAAGCATGGAAACATAAAGGCTGTGCCAAGTTCTGGTGGGCTGAAGACTTATTTTCACTGCTGTGGAGAAGCAAGTACAGTGCAGTTGTTGGCAAGACTTAATAATCCATCCTACAAAGTGACAAAGTCTATATACAGTATAGTGCTTATATAAATAGTGCTCCTGGTCTCTCATATTCAAACATATTCAGCATTTTAATTGAGAAACCTGAGCTGTTATCATCAAGAAGGTAAACATTCAGCATGAGAAAATGAGTACAGCTAAGAAGACAGCAGTAATAAAATATCTTTTTAAAAATCCAGCATTTGCTTAGTGGCTTTGAACTTCAATTTCTGTTTTAAAACTTTATTACATCAAAGTAAAAATGATTCTTGTGATATCCGACAAAGGATGCTGGGTGCTTGCAGTTTTCTGTTATCCTTTTTTATTATCACTGAAAAGCATCTGTTGACTTGAAAATTAAGTGCATTAGTGATATGAGCTCAGAAACAGGAAGGTCCGAACTTCCAGTTTCTTATGAAATCAGTCATTGTGAGAAATGAGATTTTCTCTGAAGTGCAGCAACACAGCATAATGAAACACTGTCCTGTTCAACAGGATTAATGATAACATTTGCTTTTGCTGTTTGCTTATTTTCCCCACAGTCATTTAAATGTTAAAAGGAAAGAAAAAAAGTAATCTTATTGATTTGTTTAGGGCAGATTAATCGTTGCCATTAAACAAATGCGTGTGAGTCAGTCTGCCTTTCGGCCAAAAACACTGGAAAGCATTGTACTTGTGATTTGTCAAAATGTGCAAGGCTCAGAGCTTTAGGATTGGCACAGACTAGGAAACCCACAAGCTGTGTCTCATTCTTCTTCGCATGCCATGTAAACTTTAAGGGGCTTAATAAGGTGAGTGAGTAAAGGTAAAATATATAACATGTGTCTCAACCCCAGTATTTTTAAAGTCATTTCTCAGTTGATTTTTCTTCCAAATTTAACATCTACCACCTGTTCCATAACCGATACTGATACCGATACCAATACCGATACCGGGCTGCTCAGTTTACACATTTAACTTATCCACACCCCTATATAGAAAATAACTTAAGCAAGGTGGAGACACACTGAATAAGCTAGCAGCAAGTTTGCATTGGCTCAGGCAATGTCACAAGGAGAGAGTCCAGTCAAGGGTTTCACTTAAAACAAGACATTTAAAGTTAACAGACTTGCACACTGGAGCGTGTAGATGAGCCAGGTCAGCAAAGCTTGGATGTGTGGTATGCTGTGCTATGGAGGTGTTGAAGGTGCAACCCAACAAAAAAGGTAACGCAGGCTAGATGCTGGCTGTGTGAAGGGTGAGACAGAGTGAACACATGGGCAAGTTTTAAAAGCCATACAGGCCTATGTTCGCCTAGGCCTGATGACACAGTAAGCGTTTTACAGGTTGCAAAACGCGAGGTGCACACGTTATTTTTTTAGGGTTTTTTTGGAAATCAAATGCCACCAAAAAAGAACTTTTTATTGTTGCCAGGCAACCACCCCATCACCTCCTTACACTAACCTTCCTCTGTAATCAAATTGCCATTTTTATTTTATTTATTTGACAGTGATTAGTAGCTAGTTCCTAAAATGGACAGGCAGAGGGTACTTGCTGTAGCTCTGGTCGAGGGTGAGAGGCTATCAGCAAATAATTTGCTCGGCACAGGGAAACGAGGATCCCTGTGCGTACATCAGAGCCTAAAAAAGAGAGGAGATCACGGGGAGTACCACCATCTAATCCAGGAGCTTCACCTCGATGAGGCCCATCTCAAGGCATATGTTAGGATGACTCATGGGCAGTTTGACAACCTGCTGTCAGTTGTCAGGCTGTATAGCTCTGGGTATCCAGCAACCACTACCATCAGTTTTCCTCCATTGTTTACCTGCTGTAACCTTTTTGTTGTGACCATCACTGAAGGCCCGCCTCTCAAATCATCCGATGGGACAACCCCACGAATACTGTTGTCACGTTACATACAAATGTAAAATAAGGTAAGCTAGATTTAGGAATAGAAACATAATGACAGTATACATTAAAACCACTCAAAGTTCACTTGGGACATGACTACATGATTACTGGTCTCCTAAGGGAAAGCCCTGTATTTGTTTGCCTCCTTATGTGAACTCTCACCTTTTTTAATACTTCCTTTTTTTACTCCTGTCAGCACATTGGTCACAGGATTGCAGCTTTTCCAATTTCACAGGCTGTACGCAAATTATTGGCTCATGATTACATGGGTTATGATGCCATCCTATTTTTATTAGGTTAAGTACAATCAGCCTGAACTAGGCCATGTTTGTGTAGGTTTTTAAGCCTTTGCACTTGCAATGTGCTGCTCATTAACTGAGGTCATTTTGTGCAAATAGCCCATAAAATATTACTGAATCCAAATGTTTGGGAGCCTCTCCACAGGTAAGCATGCAGATATATTTAGCACCATTGCACCAACCACGTTTTTTCTTTATTGAAACATGCCTTTATGCACAAGGACGTGTAACTGAGTTTGTATGTTTGGGTACAACAAGTCAACACTGCTGTAGGTGACTTACTGTGGCGCAGGTACAACCTGTGACTGATTAAACATGGTGTCAGCTTAATTATACGCTTGTTTTTATGTACACTGTTGGCCGACTCTGTTGGCAAAGCCAAACAAAACAAGAACAACGCCTCACATACGAGTGTTATCTCTTGAGCCAAATCTTGCAAAAGCTTCTTTGCTGTGCAGTGTACTTTTAGAATTGCTGGGTCTACATCACTGGTGGGGTGTTGCCTGCATCTACGCACAGATAAACCGGTTCTGATATGTTTCCCTATCTTTTACAGGAGATGTAGATTCTTTAATAACAGCTTGTGTTCAAAGGGAGGTTCCTCAGTGCTTTGTGTGTGTACTCTGTGCTGACTTCCACTTACAGTGCACACACACAGACCTTTACGGGGTTAAAATGAATCACCGTGCAATTTTGGCCCTATTATAATTTCATTCCAAGATTAGAATTGGTAGATGTTGGCTGCAGTTCTTCGCACAAATATGTAATCATAAGTTCAGTGACACCAGGACACTGCCTTTAAAAAGTTTTTAATAGTAAGCACCAACATAAGTAAGAAGTTGCTAGTTGATTTCATTTGATAATCTGTAGATTTGTATATGTTAAAAAAAGGATCACTATTGATGAGGCCAGGGGTCAGCAGCCTTTACTGTCCTTTTTGACCAAAATAATTGAAAAAAAAAAAAATCTGTCTGGGGCTACAAAACATAGTTGAGCCTTATATGAAGGTAACACGGCCTATTAAGTCTGAGGCTCTCGAAAATTAGACCTATTAATAGGTCTAAATGGCTACTCTGCAGTGGGCACTTTATAATTATTCGATACTTCAACTTTGCAGCGTTGGGGGTAAAAGCAAACAAACCTGTCAACCCCATTTTAAATACTCTGTTTTCCTCCAATACTTTTCCTTTTTTTGGATTTAGAATTCATCGCTAGCCTACCTAGGGAGACTAAAGACTAGCTACTCTCCTATTGAGGTTTAGCAAAATTTAGAGTAAAGGGTGCTAGGCCACAGATTTATGAGCCACATTTTAGATGATGCAATGTTAAACAGTTTACAAAAATGATAAATGAAAATTAAAAAGTAAAAAAGAACAAAAACTAGTTATTAGTTACTGGAGAAGTGCGAAAGAGCTGTATGTGGCTCTGGAGCCACAGGTTGCCTTCCCCTGGACTAGACCAGCACAGTCGCAGGAAAAAAATGTAGGTTTCTGCAAACCACAGATACGTTACATTTGCACATTATTATATAATGGATACGCTGATATTTTATTCCAACAACACTGTGGGTTTAGCTTGAAATACCCGGTTTGGCAGGCACAATCCCAGCAAGAAAAGCAACAACGTCTCCGTAAAGAAAACCTTTTTGTGCCTAAAACACAGCCTGAAACCGAGCAATGACTCACTAAATGACAACTGGTTTTGTTGTTTGTTGGTATCAAAAAAGTTGTCTGAAGGGGTCTACAGCTTAGCAAGCATTTGACCTCGGTGTCACACCATCCACCATCCCCTCCACCTCCAGATAACAAAGCCAGCTCATACACTATATCTTCTTTCTAAAT